AATATTATACATAAAACATAATTGTCAGAGCGCTCACATCATATTCACAAGGATTCCATTACTTAACCCTGTTAAATCTCTCTAGGAATTTCAATGCAACACTTCTTTTAATTTCCACTGTATTAATCCTTTCAGAAACTGCAATAAAATTAATGTGGCCTATCTTGTTTTTAGCAAACACAATATATCTTTGGTAATCACAACTTCCTTTTCCCAAACCCTCTCCTTAATGAATTATTCCAAAATTTCATAAGGTATTGATTTAAAACTCACCAGTCTACCACATCTTTTTATCATCTCTTTGCCTATTCAAAAATCAAAACATTTGCCCATCTTTAGTCTTCTGGCCCCTTTCCTTTTCCTCGGGATTTCTCAAAGCTGTAATCACACTGGAAAAACTTCAGGCTTAAAATCAAAGCATTTTGATGGGAAAACCTAGAAATACATAACAGATGCTAAAGCATTTGATGATTCTATTAATGGAAGTATGAGTAATACCTCATGTTTTACTCTGACCTTAACAATCCATGGTATATTAGTTTGAATCTTATTTGCTATTCAAAGCAGATGGAAATATAATCCCAGAGGAAAGACACAATTTAATTTGTTTCATCTCAAAGGAACATAAGACTAATAATGGCTAATAATATGCCTATTTTTATCAAGGGCTTTTCATAAGTCAGACAGATTCTAAATGTGTATTTACTCAAAAGGGAGACCATACTTAGTAACAAAGAAAGATACAATACAACTCATATTTAAGAACAACTGGCCTCATAAGAATTTTAAAAACCGGGACAGCAAGTATCAACAAGGGTGTGAAGAAATTGTAAACCTCATACATTACCGTATGTACTGTATGCCAAATGGAGCCAAAAAATTTAGCTGTTTCCTCAAAAAGTTCAACATAGCATTGCCATATAGCCAAGCAATTCTGCCTGTAGTTATATACCCCCAAAAATGAGAAAAGAAAGACAGTTTACTCCAAAACATGCACATGAAGTGTTCATAGAAGCAGTATTCATATTGGCCAAAAAGTGGAAAGAGCCCAAATATCCATCAATTGATGAATGGATAAACAAAATGTGTTGTATACGTACAGTGAACTATTATTTAGTAATAAAAAGGAATGAAGTACCGACACATGCTACAACATGGATGAACCTTAAAAACATTATGCCAAGTGAAAGAAAACAGACACACAGGGCCACATGTTGTGTGATCCTGCTTACACGAGATGTCCAGAGCAGGCTCTCTGTTAGAGTGGACATGGGGTTGCTGGGGGACAGGCAGAAAGGGAAGTGGTAAGTCCAGGCTTTCTTTCTAGGTGACTAAGATGTTCTGGAATTAGAGAGTGGTAATGGTGTACAACCTCATGGACACAGTAAAAATTACCAAATCATACATTTTAAAAGGGTCAATTGTAGAGTGTGTGTTATCTCAATAAAAATTAATTATCCTTTAAAGAAAAGAGCTAATCGCTTGAAATTTAAAGGGGGAAATGTTATTATGGATAAGAAAACAAGAGAGTAGACATGAGTTTGGGACACATGAGTATTACCTGACTGATGGCAGGTGCAGAATACGGAGAATCGCTGCTACTTAAGGGGCCATTGACAGATATGAAGAGTGTCTTGAACTAGAGACACCTTGTCATACGAGAAATGGTGGTTCCCAAGAAGGGGCTCAAAAGAGCAGGCTTGGGACAGACTTGCCAGTATCTTGAACTATTTGATGAAAGACCATTCTGTTAAAGGGAGACAATGAATAACAAAAGTGGAATGAGGGAGTAATTACTTCTGAGAACAAAAGTAGAACCAGGGATCCCTGACAGGTGTGGCTCAGTTGGCTTCACATCATCCCACAAAGCAAAGGTTGCCAGTGTGACTCCTGGTCAGGGCGCATGCCTGGGTTGCAGGTTCAGTCCCTGGTTGGGGTGTGTACAAAAGGGAACCAATGGATGTGTATCTCTCAATCAATGTTTCTCACCCTTTTTCCTTCCCTTTCTCTCTCTCTAAAAATAAGCAAATAAAACTTTTTTTTTTTAAAAAGCAGAATTAAGAATTGGAAAGTCCTAGGACTTATTTCAACCAGTGAAGATAATTAAGGTGACTGGGCCATTTTTACCACAGTTTGATCTTCTTTGGGAATCCTGATAGCTTATCTTCATCAGTAAGATATTGAATGTGCAAATTTGAATCTCCAAGGCTCGACACTTGAGCAAGTCACTCGAAATTACAGAAATTGTCATTACTGCCATTATTGGTATAGTGAAAATATTATTAATATTCCATCTTTTATTTCAACACTTATGTATCTTTTCTCCTCAAATATCAGCCAACTTCCCTGTGGAAGAGTATAATCAATGCTCATTTCTTCCTTGTATTAATTAGCACAGGTTGAAATTCTTTAACAAAAATTTACTTCTCTTGTAACAGTTGATGTTGGGTCCAGTCAGTGGGGCACCTCTCCTCCACGAAATCATTTGGGAAGTGTAGGGTAAAGGGAGGCAGTCTGGCTTCCTCACCCAGATATCTGAGCACCTAAGGGAAGCAGTTTCCCATAACCTTGAGAATGGGCCTGCTAAGCAGTATTCTCATAGCCTTGAGACTGTCTGATAAACTGTTCCCATTGCCTTGAGTGGGCTCGCATGAGCAGTATGAAGCTCTGTTGCATGATATCTGTTGGCAGCTGCTGGCTTTGTCTGTGTTCCGGTATGTAAGGAGGTAGGGGCTCCCCACTGAGTGCCACATGGTGGGACAGGTGACGTGCAGGAACATGCAGCTTGCAGCATGCGTGGATCGACCACCCTTAAACAAAAGCATGTCAAGCATCCCCTTGGCTCTGTGAATGTTCTTCTGTCTGCCTGAATTCTGTGAACTTGTCCGTCCTTGAATGGTCCCAACACAGGGAGTCAGGGTTCTATGTCTGGCTCTGTTCTCCCCTGAGGCTTTACGTCCATTTGTATCCCAAGAAGAAAGGGGAAAGAAAACATATGAGAGATTTTATCACTCTAGTTGGAAAAGCAATATTTTGTGTTTGTTCTGGAAAACCCTGACTGATTTATTCAAGAAGTCAGTTCTGACATCTTCATGTCACTATCAAATGAAGTTTCACAACACAACACCCTGGGTTCCAGGGTTAATAGATCACCGATGCAGCAAAAGTCAAGTTTAGGTAGCCATCTCTGTTCTTAGTGTGAGTACATATCTGCATGTTCTAGCACCAAATTTCTATATTTACATTCTTTTATTTTTCTTTCAAGTTTTAACCGACCACTTCTGATCAACTGATCTATTTTCACGAGTTGCAACCCAATGGCAGCCATGAAGATGACATTTGAACAAGCAAAAGCAGCAACATGCAAATTATGTGGAAGTACATTAGCCAAGAGGACCAGCATCCTGTTAAGTAGCACTTATTGAGACAGAGTGAACGAGAAGACAGTCTGAGAATATAAGAATTCATCACAGTGATCAAGAGACTGTTAACAGTCAAGCAGTCTGTAAGCAGCAGCATGGTAGCACCTGCTAAATTGGCTTGGCACACTTTTCAGCTCATAAGAACCCATAATAGACTGAGGCAGTTTATTATTTACACTGACAGCAAAAGAAAGATCAGTATAGTATCAGCTCCCTGTCTCCCTAGTCACACAGGGCGACACCAAACAGGGGGGCTAGATGACAGAGGATGGGGACCAGTGGGTCATTCTGTTATTGAGGAGCAAGGCAGGGTCAGCACTTGCAGGAACCTATGTGCTGACTTTAAATTCTAAAGGAAACTTTAACTTTTACAGAAATTTGCCTAAGAACTGAGAGGGAGGTAGTTAGGGATGGGGCCTGCAAAGCAGAAAGTTCTGTATTCAACAGAAACTAGGGACAGATGAGAAATTATTTGTATCCTACTCCTCCAATATAGAGATGAGAAACTCTCTGAAAAGAGCTCCACGCTATCAATCTCCCCTTGCTCCGGGAGGAATTTCAGGGCACTCAGGACTGCTCAGCTTTGCCTGCCTGGCCTTTCTGGAAGCATTCAAAGTTGCTAGGATTCCATGGTGGAGTTGTTCCCCTAGACACCAATGTCTGAAATATGACAAAGTGGAATTTTCTGCTTCCTATACAATAAGAGAAACATGTACAGTCTCATTAAGCAGGGCAAACTGTTGATCTTACATCAAGTTTTGGAGCAAGGCAGAGTTCAGGGACTGGGGAATTTTCAGAGGCATTAAAGATAGGACCTGTAAAAGCTGGTGGTTGGTTGACCTTTCAAACTCTGGTGTTTGCACTGAGCTGTTTGTGATTGGTTGGTTGTCCTTAATGGCTTGGATCCCTTCTGAGTGCTACTTGCTTCCATGGCCTCAAGGCATTTGGCATTTCCTAGGAGCTGGAAACTGTTTTTATTCACAAAAAAATAAAAGAACATCTGTAAAAATAGTCCTTAATCATTGTTAAAATCCCTTGCCGTATGACTGCTCTGCAAATACTCGGTTTACATTAGTTGGATACCCATGTAGTTGAAATGCATGATGTATGTCTTCTACGTCTTAGGTTTGTATCATATCACATGACTGTCAGGACCCCAGCTATCTGTCCCTGTTAAGAATCATGAAGATGAAAACTGAGAGGACAGCTCCACAATTTAGTGAACTCATAATTTGTCCAGAGAAGCCAGGCCCTCTGGGCCAGGGGATTGCAAACCTCGACTAGCTAGCAATTCCATCCACTTTCCATTGTATTCCCTGATCTACTTAGTGATGGGAGCGGGGAGCAGCCAATAACGCGAAAAAGGATGAGCGTTTGCAGAGCAAGGCGCTGGGGTCCGGGGAAGGGGTAGAACAGCGACCTAGGATGGGAATCTGCAGGCTGGGAGCCCTCCAAGGAGGCGGGAGGCTGCACTGGGTTTGCATTGGCCCAGAGGGCGCCCCTCCTCATGGGGCTGGCCTAGCGCGTGGGGGACTGTAGCAGAGCCTTGCACCAGGAGGCGGAGGCGGAGGCGGAGGCGGAGGCGGAGGCGGAGGCGACAGTGACTGTGGCGAGAGGCAACATGGCCGAGTACTCGCGGCTGCAGAACTCCCTGGCGCTGATACGCCTCCGAAACCCACCGCTGAACCCGATCAGGTAACAGGCTCAGGTCGCCTGCCTGCAGTGCAGGCTTTGACTCTCCCCTGCTCTATGAGAAAGACCCTGACTCTAATTGAAGGAGGTCTCATGTCAGGGGCCCTTTCATAGGTTAACTCAAAAAGTTACTATCTTCGCAGAGAACTCTCGTTCTCATTTCACTGGGAAGGAAACCGAGGCTGAGAGGCAGTCAGATGGCTGTAAAGTGGGGGAGCCAGTCTCTCTCATGCCAGCCTGGTCTCCTCCCTATGCCAACTTCGTGCAGAACCCTCTGCTTGCTTGCAACTTGGACCTAGGCCTACTTTCTATTTCCAAAGGTCTCAGTGCAAATCTGGCTGGATCTTGATCGCTTATTTCTCAATCTCCAGTCCAGGCCACCAAAACACGTAAGAATCGGACAACGTGGCTTCACATTTTACAAAAAATAAAAATCCCCATTAACGCCAGTGCAGTGAGTAAAGGAGATCTGTGCCCTGGCCCAGAAATGCAGTTTCTCCTGATCTGTTCTAGACCTCAAGACAGCGCTTCGGTGTACTATCCATGTCAATGTAAGCCCATTAAATAACATTTTCTCAAAACTCCTGTGTACTTTATCTTCTTTTACTCCCTCACAAGTACCTTTTTGGTTAAAACCCCTAACTCAGATTGTGCAATGCAGTAAGCTCTTACTTTTAAAAGTGAGATTAATGCTGCTTTTGTGAAAATTAATGAAGTTACTAATTTATGAGAATTAATGAAGGCACCGTCTTCCATGTCTCTGAAAAAGAGTATAGCGACTGATCATTCCAGGAGAGAGCCACCCATCCACAGGGAGTAGGATTAGCAGGAATTATAATTTATAATGAATATATAAAATATAGAGAGAAAGGCCTTTGCTTTCAAGGCTGAAATGAGGAGACCTCCTACTTTTCACAGAATTTCGATCCTGACATCAGATTTAATTGTATCATTAGTGTTAATGTTATAATTCTTATTCTTAATATGAGTTATTGTATTTAATAATACCAAAGGACTGTAGGAATAAAATCACACAAAGGCGGTATGTTCACTTACTTGCCATTCTCAGAAAAAAGCAAAATATTTGTTTTTTTTGGTCTCGATGAAGAAAGACATCAGCAATATGCTTACTTGTCAGTTTTGGACTTGCCTGTACTCTAATTAGAATCAGTAGAGATATTAGGACTGTCTGCCCCAACCTCTGCTCATGATGGAAAACAGTGCCCATCCAGAATTCCACAGTTTAATACCCACAACTAGGAATATTTTCTTAGAACTATTTGTAATGTTTGTGTCGTTCAACTCACTGTCACACTCCTTGTAGAAGAAATGTTAGTATCTACTTCATAAAGTTGGTAAGTGGCTTAAATTTGCTGGAGATTATAAACTGGCATTTAACAGATGCTATTATTGTTTCTATTAATCAGAGGCCTGTTATAAGCTCCTACTTCCAGGCGCTGCTGTTCAGAAGTCATTTCAGCTTCATGAAGAATTCCCCTACTTGGGAATAAATACTTTCTTGACCTTTCCCCTCCTCCTATCTGCTTCCAAATTTCTCTTTTAGATAGAGTGTATATCCCACTATGTTTATCCAGTTTAACAGGTTTCAAAATTTTTTTCTTGTTTTGTACTTTTCTTTCCCTCCTCTTTCCTTCCTTCCTATTTCCCTTCCTATTTCTAATTTTATGTGGAAAATTATCTCTTCCTAGCCCCCTGAGGGATTCTTATTTGAATATTATTTTGGCTCAAACAAATAGTGTAAATCCTTTGCTAGTTTAGCCAGCCATATTTCCTTCAATTCAGATGAATGCCATCCCCCCTGACAAACGCAGGGCGAGCCTGGTTCCTGGGCCTGTCTCCCAACACAGTCACTTTCACACTTTTTTTTTAGTGTAATTCATGCAGTAAGCAACCCCATGTTTTATACAGCAACCTAAGCCGCACAAGTGTACAAATACGTAACTGAAAGCAAAGTTTCATGAAACAAACTTATTCTTACTTGTGATATCATTCGATATATTCCATTTTCTCTTCTATTTCTTTGTTTTAAGAAAGGTGGTCACAAGCCACAAACTTCATTTGATGACATTCAGATTTTTTAAAAAGTCACAATATAAGACCTTCTATAGTCACAGAAACTAAAAAGTTTTGGTCAGCACTTATGAAATGTAATCTTTACTCTAGACTTGATTTCTTCATTGCTGACAGTATTAAGGGGAGAAAATAATCTCTCCACCTCTGGGATCTTGACCTTGCTTCCCGGCTGTGGTCCCTTTCCCTTGGCCAGACTCCAGTAAAGCTGTATATGCCACAGCCATTTCATTTTTCATTTCCCCCCTGTGTTTGATTTTTGCAAAATTAACAAGAACCTAAGAGAAATAAAAGAGTTGGCGCTGGGTGAAATGGGAAAAGTCAGCCTCTTCTCAGTGGCCCTGATTAAGCTCATTTGGGTTAATTTTGCAGCCATCCCTTACCCAGAAGGAAATAGGCACCTTTTGGACTTCTCAGTATTATGGATGGTTCAGAATCTTTTTTTCCTCAGATTTGGTTTCTAATTAACAGTCAAAGGCAAGAGGTTTTGTTTGATTTCATTTAGTAATCATGAGAAGAAATTAGGTGAAAAGGAACTGTTAAAGGCAAGTATCTGCTTTATTCTTGGAGGTTGTAACTCAGAGTTGTTGGTCTGAAATATATGGCTTTTATATTAAGTTTGTCCTTGTGTTTCATTTTATATTAAGATCTTTTTCTACCCTGTATGCTAAAGAACAGATATTTTACCGAGAATAGTTGGAATTCCATGGCAGAACAGACTAGACTCTGGTTCTATCATTTTCTCCTTGAAGCAATTCTTTAGCACTTGCCCTAGGTTCTCCTCCTTCATCACCCCTTGGCACTTAGAGATTCCCCGCTTCTTGACAAATTCGTTTCTGTTGGCCTTCGTGACTTTGGCTCCCTTGGTGCTGAACCACTCTGAATCAATCTACTGAAACACAGCAAAATCTACTACATGTCATTTCTTCCCCAGACCTTGCCTTGACCTCCTAAATTATATAGTTTAAGATTAGGTTTGGCTGTCAGTGACAGAAAAATAGTGGATTAAACAAGAAAAAGTTTATTTCTCTCATAGTGGTGTCCTGGAATGGTACGGCTGCTCTGCATTCACAGGGACCCCAATTCTCTTTCTCTTTTGTTCTGCCATCTTCAATATGTGGTTCCTTCCACCTCTTAGTCCATAAAGGCTGCTCCTGATCTAACCATCACATCTGCATTCCTGCCATGAGTAGAGAGGAAAGAAAAAGAAAAACTATCCCCAGTCGCTTTGGACTCTTCCCAAAAGTTGCATATGCCAAGTCTTCTATCCACTAGTCAGAACTTAATGCCTTGGGCTGACCTTACTACAAAACAGGCTGGGAAATGTGGTCTTTATTTTAGGCAGTTATGTATCCAGCTGAAAACCATATGTTTAATATTTTGAAGAAGGTGGGGAGGTTGGGGTATTTGGGGTAACTTGCAGCCCCTGCCACATCTGTTTCTTTTAGAGTATTTCAGTTTTCTTATATTTTGCCAGCATGACAAATTTAAAGTAATTCCTTCCCCCTCTGAACTTCCATATCACTTTCTTTGTATCTATTACAGCACTCATCTTAGTGTGATATTTTGTCGTATGTATTTTGTTCTCCCTAGGGTGTTACAAACTCCCTTTACTGTATCTAGAGGACTTATAACAGCATTTTAAAATTGATTAGTGCTAATTCTAGTGTTCAAAGTTATAAGAGTGCATAATAATATAATTTTCAAAAAGTTTATTACTTAATCAGCTCAGTGCTTAATTCACAATAGATACATATATTATTTGTTGAACAAAGAATGAAAGCTTAATGATTGGTATCTAGAGTTTTTATCCATTGTGTATGTGCTAAAGTTTTCATTGTTAGAAAAGGAAAAAACTGAGATGGTAGAAATTTAATTCTGACTAATGCTTCGTTGTTTTTTTTTTTCTTTTAGTATGGCTGTCTTAAGTGGAATAAAAGAAGGGCTACAGAAAGCCATAGCAGACCCTACAGTAAAAGCCATTGTGATTTGTGGAGCGCATGGCAACTTCTCTGCAGGTACCAGTATCTGATCCTCTCCCTTTGTCTCCGGAATCCAGCCAGGACTCAGATCGATACTGCATTAGCTGTCCCTGTGGGTAATACCATAGTGCGGGTAATGGTGTGGGACACTTGAGTGGCAATGAGAAACTGGGGAAAGATACTTGAATCACAAGAGAGACGCAGAGAAGAGTTTGACCTTACTCTCTTTTATATTGGATTGGACCGTTGTGAGATATTTAGTTGTAGGCTTGATGGCTGCAATACCTGCTAATATGTATATACCTGCTCTGTGTATATCTTCACCCTATGTGAACTTGAGCAAATTTCTTTAATTTCCTGAACTTCAATTGTATTATAGAATTGTTCACTTGAAACCTATATAATTTTATTAACCAATGTCACCCCAACAAATTCAATATAAAAAATTAAAAAATCAACTTCTTAATGTATAAAGTAAATACAGTAATATCTGTCTTGACTTTTTTTGTGAGGTTAAATGAAATCCTCTAGTGCAGAGCCTACATGTAGAAGATGTTTAATAAATGTTATTTTTTATTTTACATAGTCTTGAAAGGAAGTTCAGTTTTCTTCCAATAATCACCTATTTCAGAGACTATGCCACTTTTTGGGGGGTTATTCTTTAAAGATGCAAAAATATTACAAAAATATGGCAAAAGAATCTGAAATAGTGATTCAGTCATATTTGTGACATCTCTCCTCTTTTCCCAAATGAATATATTATGCCCTTTGACAAAGTCACATGGATACAAGGGCCTATGTAATCTTAGTGTAGCCAAGAGATTTAATATGTATTAATAGTAGCCTGATGCCCTGGCTAGTGTGGCTCGGTGGATTGAGTACTGGCCTGGGAACAAAAAGGTCATGGGTTTGATTACCAGTCAGGGCACATGCCTAAGTTGCCCCAGTAGGGAGCACATGAGAGGCAACCACAAATTGGTGTTTCTCTCTCTTTTTCCCTCCCTTCCCCTCTCTAAAAATAAATCATAGAATCTTTAAAAAATAAAATAATATACATTAATGGTAGCCTGAGAAGAAATAGAAATTAGAATTATGATAAACAATGAATATAAAAACGATAATCATTATAATAATTATCATTTATCTTGCCTGCTTTGTACTAGTGATCTGTAGGTTATTTATCAATAGTAAAAATGGTAGTATTTTTACATTTATTATATTTTAATTCTCAATAAATTCTACAGTTTTTATTTACAGGTGAGAAGGCCAAGCCTGTGAGAGAGGGTAAAATAATATACCAAACACAAACTAGGTATTAAATGCCTTACTTAACTGTTTGAAACTTAAGGTAGGGAACCCAAGAGGACAGCTCCGAGACATGGAGAAAGGGATCGGAATTGTGGAGAACTTGATATTTCTTTGTAAGGAGATATAAGAGAGAGAATGTATTAGAGTTTAGGACAGAAAAAAATAATTCCTGTGGAAAAGCATTAGGAATTAGCAGATTTGTCTTAATGGATTTATATACAGAGAAAAATGTACCCAACAACTGCAAAACAATACATTTTTCTCCAATCTGCACCATTTACAAAAATTGACTAGATACTGGACCATGAAAGCTTGTCTCAATAAATTTCACTTAGAATATGTTCTCTGACAACAATGCAAATAAACTAGAAATCTGTAACAAATATAGAACTGGAAATTCTCATGTTTAGAAATGAAATTAATTTCCCTGACTCAAAGCAGGAATCATAGTAGAATTTAGAAAATATTTTGAACTGAATGATAATGAAAACACAACATATATAACTTCACAAATACAGCTAAAGAAAAACTTAGCAAAAATGTCATAGTGTTATATAAATCAGGAGAGAAAAAAGGCTGAAACGTAATGAGCTAAAGATCTGTATCAAGGAAATAACAAAACAAACAGTAAAATAGATCCAAAGGAAGTAGAAGGAAGGAAATAATGCAGAAGAGAAATTAATGAGGCAGAAAACAAATGTGAATCAAGAAGATCAACAGTGTCAAAGTTAGTTCTTTAAAAGACTAATAAAATTGACAAAACTCTGGAGAAACTGATCAAGAAAAAAACAGCAAACAATGAATATAAGAAATCACAAAAATGTTATCACTGTAGACATCATAGCCTTTAGCAAAGATAATGAAGATAGTATGAACAAGTAGATTATTTAGCCCACCAAAGCTGACTTAGGAAGAAATAGAAAACCCAAATAGTTCTATAACCATTAAAAAACTGAATCAGTAATCAAAACTTTCACAAAGCAATGCCTGGCTGTCTTTGGCTTGTTTCTGCATCACTCCCCCTCCTACCTCTGTCTTCATGTGGTCTTCTCCCCTGTGTCTAAACTTCCCTGATTCTAGAAAGATCCACCCTAATCCACTATGACCTCATCTTGATTACATTTGGAAAGACCCTATCTCTTAAAAAAAAAAGGTCAAATTCACGGGTTTGGTGTAGACATCATTCAACCCAGGGCCCTTCCCAACTCATATTGTGAGGCTAGAATAACCTTGATACCAAGCCCTGTCAAGGACAGCATGAAAAGCAAAATTACAGATCCACTACATTCATAAATATAGATATAAAAATCTTAGGCAGTATATTATAAAATTAAGCCTAATAATATATAAAAATATAATATATCACTATTACCCCAGTAATACCAGATTGGTTAAACCTTAGAAAAATCAATGTAATTTATCTTATTAAAAAGATTAAAGGAGACACAATCGTGGTTATTTCAAGAGAAACTGAAAAAGCATTTGATAACATTTGACATGTTATATCATTTTTAAGGATAAAAATTCTTAGTAAACTAGGTATAGAAAGGAAATTTCTTAGTTAGGCTAAAATATCACTTTTAAAAACCTATAGCAAACTTCAAACAAAATGGTATCTTGAAAGCTTTCTCTACCAGAAAGGTATAAGACAAAGCTGGCTGCTATTACCATTTGTATTTGACATTGTATTCTAGGCCCTGGCCAGCCTGGTAAGACTAGAAGAAAATAAATAAAAGGTATAGGGCTGAAAAGAAAGAAACAAGCTTCATTATCTAGAAGATATGATAGTGTTTATAGAAAAACTAAGGATAATCTATCAGAAAATTATTAGGATTAATAAGAGAGTTTAGCAATTTTGCTGTCTATAAAATTAATATTCAAAAAATTAATTGCATTTCTATATGCCAGAGACAAGCAGTTAAAAAGTGAACTCACTAGACCACTGTCTGTACCTTGATTTCTGTACAATTGCAATGATAATAATACTAACCTTATGCTGCAAGTAGAAGGCGGTAGTATAACATTTAAGAATGTGGAGTGTGGTCAAACTATCTGAGTTCCAGTCTTTATGTTACCACTTACTAGTCATATGTTTGAATTGGGCACATAACATCTCAAAGCCTTAACTTTCTTACCTGTACAATGAGATTGTTATACTACTTAATTTAGGTGTTAAGAAGAGTATATGAACAACTTGGCATTATGCCTGATGTACTTATCCAATAAATGTTAATTGCTACTATTACATGAATACCCTTTTTAGTCTAAAGTTACAGGAATGATAGACCTGAGAGTCAGACTGAAATTCATCTTCTCTAGAACCAAAGGAATCTGTATGATGATGATGATGATAATAATAATAGAGTGTAAAATATGATGGGTTAGTGAAAAGAAGCCTGATCCCTTGACGCAGACACCAGCCCGCAGTGTCCATGGCGTCATGGATGAGATATAAGATAAATTCACATGGACTACCAGGTCCTGTGGAGGAAAAGGACAGCATGGCTACTCCCTCAAGGAGGGAGCGCCTCAGAGTGCCCTGGCCACTCTCTCAAGGGGAGAGTGCGCTGACCCTTGCCTTGACAGGGTTTTATTGGGCTTCAATTTGCACAGGAATACAGGTAAACTTCATTAATCATTGTCACATGGTAAGCATCAAACAATAGATAGCAAAGAACTCTGAGGGCCTATTCTGAGTTAGGGTCTGTTAGGTAAAGGGCTACAAAACTTTTGGCAACAAACTCATTTCCTGCTTGGACCTATATCATTTAATTGAGAGCATTTTAGCAAAGCAGGTTTCAAAGGATTTTACATATTCTTTCTTGGGCCTATCACTGGGAGTGGAGGGGGTGGGGGGCATCCTTTCCAGCACAGGGCTGAACCCCCCTCTGTCATTGTTTCAGGCTTAAGTCAGGCAGGGGAAGTAAGGCAGCCAAGAGATTAGGAGACTTCTCGGAGACAGAATGAGGACTCAGGCTTTGTCAAAGCTGAGGGGCGAGGATCCATCACCCCCTTTTGCTGTAGCCCCCCAAGTCCTTCCCTGGGACCTCCACATGATCATGCCTGTCTTAGGTCGATCCTCCCTTGGGGAGTCTTACCCATCATTGGTTAACCGATCAAGCACTAGGGGCCAGTTATGGAAAACAGAGCAGAAGCGGTGCTCCTGCCAGGGAGATAAGCTTTGTCTCCTTAGTGGTTTATGGTCCAAAGGTCTCTCACTCAGCTTTAGCCATTGGGGGGGGGGGGGGGGGGTTACAGCTCCAGAAACCAGGCAGGGCAGTTCCCAACAATTCCTGGATTGATGTTAGATGAGGAGCTGGTGGCATAAAAAAAAAAAAAAAAGGTTGAACATGAAATAGTTGCTTTAACTTTTTAATTTGTACCAAGCTTAATGTTTTCAAAGAATACATAATGTTATAGGGAAGGAGCTCAATATGTATACCATTATGTGAAAAAAAAGGGAAGATATAAAAAATGACTTTACAAATGCTCTCAATATTGCTAAAAAATATAGTAAACTTTCATTTAATTGTCACATCAGTCATTTAAATAGGCATTGAGACAAAGGTTAAATAACTCACTGAAGGTCCCAAAGCGATTTACATATATGCATTGGGAAAAAACTAAGAATTCACCAAATATTATGTTATCTCTATTTGATGATATTAGAGGTTATCTTTAGGTTCTTTATAATTTTGAGTATTTTTTAAATTTCCATAATACATATTATTTTTATAATTAGAAAAAGCAATGAGTGTTTGCTGTTATTGCTCACAAAAAAAATCTCACAGAGACATAATTCTAATCTGGTTGATTAATGTGTAACTCACAAATATGTATGCATTTGCCCTGAGATTTGCCATTGTAATAATTCATGCCCATAACAAAGATATGGCTTAAAATTGCTGTGAATATAATTGGTGAGCAGTATCATGGGAAGAATAGAAGACAATGACTCAGTCTCAGAATACTAGTTGTTGTAGAAGAATCTCTTTTCCCTTTCTCTAAGCTTTTAATTTTTCTGAGGGTAGAATTGCTACCTGCATATGGAAAGACAGACTTTAGAAGATTACAGAACTCCTAATAAAGATTTGAAGATTTTCTTTCATATCGGGCTGCATTTTTCCAGGCTTTTTTTTTTCTTTAGTGTGTTGCCACCCACAGGATGACTTGTGAAGTGTTTCATGGGTCCAAAGAGGTCTGAGATGCCTTAAGAACGACCTGGTACCTTATTGTTACGTCACAAAACCTATGTCTTTCTCAAATCTCTTTGCCTTGTATTTGTGTCCTTAGGTGCTGATATCCATGGTTTCAGTGATCCCGTTAATTCTGAGTTTAGACTCGGACATTTGGTAGATAAAATGCAGAGAAGCGAGAAGCCCATTGTGGCAGCTATCCAAGGCATGGCTCTAGGAGGTGGACTAGAGCTGGCCCTGGGCTGTCACTATAGGATCGCCCACGCGCAGGTAAGAGCTGAGGCTCTCTGTGGGACTTGGTGTGTGGGTTTTTCTTTAGGGCAAGCCCTAAATGTAGTTATAAGCATCTGGGGTGATCATTTTAAATGGTTGGCTTACTGGTTGACAACTGTTAGGTCTTTCCAGCACTGGTGCTCAGCTATTGTGTACCAATGCAGTTTAACTGGTTGCTAAAATGTTGAAATACATTCATTCTGGTTGGTAAGTTGCTGCTATCCTAAGTCCCCTGACTGTCCCTTTGCTTCTCCTAACCCTAGCCCTTGGACCTGCCCAGAATCCACCAATGAAAGGGAAAACCCTGGGTCAGTGGTGGGCCCCCAGGTCTCTACTCCAGTGCTATCTCCCAAGTAGGATTTCACTGAGCCATGCTTATGCTGTAGTAGGTAGTAAATACTTTGACTACCACCCCTAAGTGTGTATGCTTATTTAAATTTTCATTTCCTATCTCTAAATTTTCAGTTTTCTGGTCCCTTACAATTATCAGTACCTAAGAAGACACATTCCTATTCAAAACAGCACAAAACTACTGTGTCCATTTATTTCTGGAAATAGAGATTTAATTTGGGCTACTGTGTAGAATGAAGCCTTACCAGTCTTACAATAGTAACATAGTTGTAAGTAATGTAGTTTTCTAATGATAAAGATAATAGTCATCATTGTAATAGACTAGCAATCACAACAAAAGTATAAAGGTGTACAGTAAAATCACCGTAAACTCATAGTTCAGAAATAACCACTATTAACATTCAGTTTTATTTCCTCCTTTTTTTTCTATGTAATTTATTTCTTACATTATTTTTCTTGGCAGTCTTTTTTAAAACCACATTTGAGACTTTATTTTATTTTGTTTGTACTCTATTTTTATGCTAATGTGATATTTAACCTATTATTAAATATGCTTAATCTATTCTACCTTTTAAAGAGTTCAATTCATTTAAATTTAATGCAATCATGATATGGAAGGACTTCTTTCATTTTGCTATTTGTTTGCTATGTCTTATGACTTTTTTGTTCCTCAATTCTTTCATTAATGCTTTTATTTGTATTAAATATTTTCTTTTTTATATTAAAAATTTTAATTGTTGTTCAATTATAGTTGTCTCCATTTTTCCCCATTGTTCTCTCCCACCCTGCCCACCCCACTACCCCCACATTCAATTCTTCTCCCTGTGGTCCTTGTCTGTGAGTCCTTTATTCATGTTCCTTGACCCTTTCCCTTCTTTCCCTGTTATCTCTCTCACCCCTCCTCCCTCCCCTCTGGTCACTGTCAGACTGTTCTTTATTTCCATGTCTCTGGTTCTCTTTTGCTCACTTGTTTGTTTTGTTGATTAGCTTCCACTTACAGGTGAGAACATATGATATTAGTCTTTCACCGCCTGGCTTATTTCACTTAGCATAATGCTCTCCAGTTCCATCCATGTCGTCATGAAGGGTAGGAGCTCCTTCTTTCTGCTGCATAGTATTCCACTGTATAAATGTTGTATTAAATAGATATTGTCTAATACCCCTTTAATTTGCTTGTTGTTTCTTTTACTATATTTTTAGTTGTTTTCTTAGTGGTAATTACCCTGGATATTACAATCTATTTCAGATTAATACTAACTTAATTTTAATAACATACAAAAAATTTGCTTTCATACAGTTCTGTTACCCACCTACCCCTTTAAATGCCATTGTTCTCACAAATTATATTATTATACACTGTGTGCCCATCAACATAGATTTATAATCATTACTTTATGGAGTGGCCTTTAAAATCAGATAATACAAAAGGAATTATAAACAAAAATTACATCAATACTGGTAAATATTGACATAGGTAAATATACTGTCCTTTTTATTTACCTATGCATGAGTTACCTTTGCCATTGCTCTTTCTCCTTGTGTGTGGATTTGAGTTACTATACTGTCCAGCATCCTGTCGTTTCAGCCTGAAGTGTTTTGTGCTGGGGAGATCTGTTGGGCACAGATTCAGTTTTGCTTATCTGGGAATGTCGGAACTTGCCTTCCTTTTCAAAGGCTAGTTTTACTGAATATGGAATTCTTGTTTTACAGTTTTTTCCCTTTCAGTGCTTTGAATATGTTGCCCCATTGCCTTTTGGCCTTCATGGTGTCTGATGAGAAATATGCTGTTAATTTTATTGTAAATATTATTTAAAAAATATAATTTTAAATGGCTATATAATTTTCATATAGACTTACCATAATTTATTTAACCATTTACCTATGTTGTTCTAATTTTTATGAAAGCTTATAAGTAAAGACACATTCTCAGTACCCCTTTGTCTTTGTTTCTCTCACTGTGACCTTCTGCACACTGAGTGCAGATCTAATGTATGAAAAGTAATAAATAAGTTAGGGGTGGGGATGAACAGTGGTGGGAAAAAAATGGGGATTGGCTGTTAGGAAACCCTTGCGTGAGAGAGGCTTAAATATTCCAGGTGTTTTGGAGCTATTAGCATCACAGTGTGGGTAGATTGCAGTCTGTATTTAGATAACTTCTCCTCTCTTCTTTGTAGCTGTAAAATGACTAACAGAGCTTTGGCCACTTTTACATGGCCAGGAGGGGCTCATCCTCCCATCCAGATTGGGGTCACGTTCTCCTCCTCCCATTCCCCACCCCTTCCCCCTCCTCCGCCTTCCTCTTCTTCTATGGCTTTATTAAGGTATAACTCACAAACCATACAATTCACTTGTTTAAAGTGTAGAACCCACTAGTATATTAGTATATTCACAGAGTTGTGCAACCATTCCCACAGTTGACTTTAAAACATTTCAATACCATAAAAGGAAACTTCATGCCCTTTAAGAGTAACCCTCCATTTTCCCTCTCCCCCATTCCAGGCAACCACAAATTTACTTTCTGTCTCTATGGATTTGGCTATGCTAGACATTTAGAATAAATGGGTTATTCAATATGTTGTATTTTATGACTGGCTTCTTTCAGTTAGCCTAATGTTTTCAAGGTTCACTTATATCAGAGCCTCTGTTTTCCATGGAAAGAAAGTACTTCATTCTTTTCCATAGCTAAATAATATTCCCTCTATGGATAGGCCACATTGTGTTTATTTATTCATCAGTTGATAGTTGATAGATATTTGGGTTGTTCCTACTTTCTTGGCCTTAATGAAAACAGTGACACTATGAAAATTTGTGTACAAGTTTTTCTGTGGGCACGTTTTTGTTTCTCCTGGGTACATACTCAGGTGTGGAGGTGCTGGGTTATATGGTAACTCTGTATTTAACCTTTGAGGAACTGGCCACTTGTTTTCCAAAGGGACTGTACCATTTTCTATTCTCACCAGCAATACATGAGGGTTTTGTGTTCTCTGCATCCTCTCTTGCTCTTGTTTTTTTCTTTTTTATTATAGCCATCCTAATGGGTATGAAGTGGTATCTTGAAGTTTCAATTTGTATTTCCCTGATGGCTAGTGATATTAGTATTTTTTCAAGTGCTTATCAGCCATCTGTAGCTCTTCTTTGGAGAATGTCTATTCAGATCCTTTGCTCACTTTTAAGTGGATTGTCTTTTTATTATTGAATTGTAAAAGTTCTTTATATATTCTAAATATATGATTTTAAAATGTTCTCTCCCATTCTGTGGCTATCTTTTTACTGCCTTGGCTGACTGAATCTTTCAGGGCTCCATAAAGCTCTTTCTGGAGACTATTATTTTTGTTGACTGAGACAGGTTATAATAGAGTCAGGAAAAAAAATGTGTTAAGATGCTAGTGTTGTGTTTCAACATAAAGACTTAGGAACAGCATAGCTCTTTTTATTTTGTTAATTAAATTAAATGAGAGGGTGTACAGTAATTTGCTTTGTGGAAACTCTTGCTGAATCCTATGAAACAATCAATGTTTATGAGAATTTGGAAAATCCAGGGCAATGCTCACCTTTACTCTATGTCATTTCATTCTAATGACCTTTGTGCCTTTAAACTTCGACAGGCTCAAGTTGGCTTCCCAGAGGTCAAGATAGGACTTCTCCCTGGTGCAAGAGGATCCCAGCTTCTTCCCAGGCTCATTGGAGTTCCTGCTGCACTTGACTTAATCACTTCAGGTCAGTGTAAACCCTGCCAGCAGTTGTCTAGATCACTGTGAGGAACTGGGCTAGGATTTAGAAAAATTCTGGCTGGACCATTCCATACCTATGTGATCTTAAGAGGAGACTTTAACTTCTTTGACTGTCAATGTTCTTGTCTATAAAATGGAAAGAATACTTTTCCAGAGAGCTTCTCAGATGTTACTGTGAAGATCTTCACAGTAACATTTGTGACTTCTGGGAAAGGTATACAAAGTGCTAAATCATATTTAGAATTTTATTATAGTTCAAGCACAAGCTCATGGACACTGGTGCTCACATAGGATATATTATATTCAGATCTAATTTACAAATTGTAATATAAACAGGAATTAAAACCAGAATTTTCAAAGAAAGATTTCAACCTTTAGGGTGCAAATGACTGAATTTTTTATTTCTCAAGTGTTAATACATTAGTACAAATAAAAGTTCTCTTTTAATAAAGAATGTGAACAGTGCAACACTGGAAAACATTTAGGCATCCTAAATTTACCAAATACCATAAGACATATAAAGGCATTTTCAGTTGAGATAAGGTTGGAAGAAAGACTATATATGACTACTTATGCTAAACAGGTATAAATAATTATGAGACTTCAGGCCAATCACTTTACCTTTTAATGCCTTAGTTTTCTTAGAAATGGGGATAATAATAGTACCTGCCATATACTTACACAGTATGGTGAAGATTAGATAAGTTAATGCCTACAATGTGCTTGGGAATGGCCCCAGGCATGGTAATAACGTCATAAGTTTCAGCTATATATTGTTATTCGCATATCTGTCTTCTTAGTTAAGAGGAGACTTGAATAAAAATAGATGAGGATCTTGGTGATAGACTATATCCTCAAGAAGGGGCAATAAAAAGAGCACATGCTTTAGAATCAAAGCCCCAAGTTTGAATACCAGCTCTACCACATTTAAACAATATGCCTTGTGCAAGTTCATTTTTACTCATTCATCTAGTGACTATTATTAACCTTCCCTCATATGCTAGGCCTAGTTCTAGGCATTGGGAGTGTAGCAGGGAACCAAACCAATAAAATCCTGCCTTCGTGGAGATTATATAGAGAAAACAACAGTGACAAACATCATGTTATCACATTTCATCAATTCAGAACCATAGTTTTTCCACACCTTTGAAATGAGGATGCCTCTTACATTTGTTTTGAGTCATGCCTTAATCGGCAGTGCTTTTTTTCTTTCCTAGTTCTGTGGGTTAGGAATTTGGGAGCAGTTTAGCTCAGGGTTTCTTATGAGGTTGCAGTCAAGACATTGACTGGGGCTGTAGTTATCTGAAAACTCGACCAGGGTTGGAGGATAGACTTCCAGGGTGGCCAGCACGCATGGATGGCTGGATGGTGCTGACTGTTGGCAGGAGGCCTCATTTCCTCTCCATGTGGACCTCCCCATAGTGCTGCGCAAGTGGACTCTGGCCTCCTCTAGAGTTTTCCAAGAGAGAGCAAGGTGAAAGGTGCAATGTCTTTTATGACCTAACTATGGAATCACACACCATTTTTTCCTGAACTATCCTGTTAATTATACAGGTCTTCCCTATTCAGCATGAGAGGGGGCTTGAATACCAAGAGGCTAAACACATGGGGGTGCCTTTGGAGACCAGCTACCACAACTCTGTACTCAAACACATGCCTACCTATTATATTAGTAGTATGCATATATAGTAGGCTAGATGGAAATAAGTGCTAAGGAGAAAACATAAAGCAGAAGTGGGGATAATAAAATCTCAGGGACAGAGATGATATTTTAGGTAGAGTAGCTAGGAAAGGCTTTCCTACAAAATAACATCTGAGTAAACAGCCAAAGGGGGTGAGGAAGGTTACTATACTAATATCTGGAGGAAGATATTCCGCATGGAGAAAAGAGCAAATGCAAAACCCTGAGGCAGGGACGTACCTGGAAAGTTCAAAAAAAGAAAAGCAAGAAGGTCAATGCGGGTGGATTGAAGTGAGCACAGGGAAGAGCAGCAGGGGATGAAGTCACGTCATGTAGGGTCGTGAAGATTACAGAAAGAATGCTGGCTTTTCTTCGGATTGAGTCGGAAAGGGACTGGAGTGTTTTGAGCAGGGGAGTAACATGTCCTGTTTTAAAAAGATCACTCTGGCTGTTGAAAATATATTAATCAGAGCTAAGGGCAGAAATAGGAAGACTGGTTAGAAGTCTGCTGTAATAATCCAAGGGAGAGATGATGGGCGCATGGACCTGAGTGGTAGCAATGTAAATGATGAGACATGTTTGAAGTTTGGTTATGTTTTGATGGTAGAACCAACAGGATTTTGTGACAGGTCAGATGTGATAAAAAGGAGAGTCAGGGATGAATCCAATGGCCTGAGCAGCTGGAAAGAGGGTGCCATTACTGAGATGGGGATTTCCGCTGGGAGAGCAGGTTCTGGGGAGGAATCACAGCACCCAGGTTGGGATATGTTAAGTGTGAGATGCCTGTTAGACATCCAGGTGGAGTGTCAAGTAGACAGACAGTTGGAGAGGCTGACCCAGAGTTTAGGAGAGAAATCTTCTGGGCTCTCAGCCTCTGTTTTCTCATCAGTTAAACCAAGTGGCTTTAAGGAATAATGAAATTACATGACATATTTCTGTCACATAGAAGGTTTTTGCCAATGCAACTGTGGGAAGCAGAATGATGATCCCCTAAAGATGTCCCTGTCCTAATCCCCAGAACCTGTGAATATGTCACCTGACATTCAAAAGGGACCAATGTAATTAAGTTAAGAATCTCCAGTGGGAGATTATTTTGGATTTTCCAGGTGGGTCCAGGTCATCACAAAGGCCCTTAGAAGAGGGATGCAAGAGGGCAGGGAAGAGGGAAGATACTATGTGGGTAGCTTTGAAGATGGAGGAAAAGGCCACAAGCCAGGAAGTGTAGGCAGCTTTTCTAGAGTCTGGAAAAGACAAGAGAGATTCTTTCTGAAAGCCTCCAGAAGGAACACAGTTCCACTGTCCTATTTTGGATTTCTGACATCCTGAACCAAGATTACACATATGTGTTGTCTTAAGATACCATGTGTTTGCTTGTGGTAACTTGTTACAGTAGCAATAGTAAACTAATACAGTCATTGTTAAAAGTGATGAAATTAAGAATCTTTATGGTTTGGAAAATTTTTTTTATAAGAAAGGATGTTAAAAATAATTGTTACTGGGACTTCCACCAAGATGGAGGCGTAGGTGGAAACACTTTGCTTCCTCACACAACCAAATCTAAAAACAACAGTTTAACAACAATAAACGCATCCAAACCACAGAAAGTCGAACAATACGGAGTCCGAAAACAACGGACCGCTCAGCTAAACTCGTGAGAGGGGTGAAGCCAGCAGCGGAGCAGGGTCGGGCAAAAATGATCCCCCCACTCAGGCGGCGCGCAAGCAGCCGAGGGCGCGGATCCCAGGTGTGGGGTAGCTACGGGAAGGAGCGGTGCAGCTGGTTGTCTGCGGTCGCGCATTTGTGCGCAGATAAACCAGTGAAGAGATGTGCATTGAGACAGACCACGCAGGCCCCTGCCCAGGGTGGTGGGCTCGCACTTTTGCACTCAGATAAACAGGTGGGGGCAAGCGGTGAGGCAGACCAGTGAGCAGAGAGGACTGCCATTGCTCCCTCTCTGACTCCGCCCCCACATACAGCATCACAAACCTGTGACCTGGGTGGTCCCGCCCTGGTGAACACCTAAGGCGCTTCTCCTCATATGTAACAGGCACAAACAGATCAAAACATGGCTCAAGAACAACTCAGAGCCCCAGAGCCAATAAATCTAAGCAATGAAGAAACAGCTAAACTTTCAGATGCACAGTTCAAAACACTGGTGATCAGGATGCTCACAGAGCTGGTTGATTTTAGTCACAAATTAGAGGAATATATGAAGGCTAAACTAATTGAAATGAAGGGAAATGCACAGGAAGTCAATAGTAATGGAAAGGGAACTGGGACTCAAATCAAGGGAGCAGACCAGAATAAAGGAAAAAATGACCGAACAGAAAAATATGAAGAAACAAGAATTCAAAAAAAATGAGGAGAGGCTTAGGAACCTCCAGGACATCTTTAAACATTCCAACATTCGAATTATAGGGGTACCAGAAGGGGAAGAGGAATAGTCATGAGTGGAAACCTTATTTGAACAAATAATAAAAGAGAACTTCCCCATTCTGGCAAAGGAAATAGACTTTCAGGAAATCCAGGAAGCTCAGAGAGTCCCAAAGAAGGTAGACCCAAGAAGAAACACACCAAGGCACATCATCATTACAATAGCCAAGATTAAAATGAAGGAGAGAATCCTAGAAGCAGCAAGAGATAAGGGGACAGTCACCTACAAAGGAGTTCCTGTCAGACTGTCAGCAGATTTCTCAAAAGAAACCTTACAGGCAAGAAGAGGCTGGAAAGAAGTATTCCAAGTCATGAAATCCAAAGACCTACATCCAAGATTGCTGTATCCAGCAAAGCTTTCATTTAAAATGGAAGGACAGTTAAAGTACTTCTCAGATATGTTCAAATTCAAGGAGTTCATCATCACCACGCCCTTATTATATGAAATGTTAAAGGGACTTACCTAAGAAAAAGAAGATAAAAAAGATGAACAGTGAAAGGACAGCAAACTCACAGTTATTAACAACCACACCTAAAACAAAAGCAAATTAAGAGGACAGCTAGATCAGGAGTGAACCATAGAAATGAAGATTATGTGGAGGATTAGCAACAGGGGAGTGGGAGAAGGAGAAGGGGGGAGAAGGTACAGAAAATAAGTAGCATAGACAGTAGATAGAAAGTAGATAGGGGGAGGGTAAGAATAGTAGGGGAAATATAAAATCTAAAGAACTTGAGACAGGTGTTCATGAACTAAAGGGGGGTGGAATGTGGGTGGGAGGAGGTATGCAGGGTGGAGGGGAATGAGGGGGGAATAGAACAAATGTAATGGCATAATCAATAAAATAAAAAATATATATTAAAAAAATTGTTAC